TGCTGGACAGACTGCTCTTTTGCCACTTCTGCATCCAGATAACTTGTCTTCATTGAAATTATTATTGTCGCTGACATATATGCTTTCATCAATTTTAGTCTTGACTAATCAACATGGCAAACCTTTATTACGATTACACGAATGGTTGTATGTAATACTGCTACCCTTAGTTACGATCTATGAAGTTGTGCTGCATAAATTATTGCTTGGTGATAAACTGCCATTCCTGCCATTAGCATTTACTTCTGTATACTGTGCTATTGGTATAACTTACTGTTGGATACTGTATTATTACATATATTTGAAAAACAATATTCGCATTAATGAGACAGCGAGAAACAAATTAGATCGTCAAAGACCAAAGGACAAGCGATCTTAAAATATATCGTTAAAAATTTTGATATTTTTGTGGATGAAAAAAAATATTTTTATAAATTGTGCATAGAAATAAGTCTACATCATCTACATTGCGTGTAATAATCAATGTGTATATGTGTATATGTCCAATGATTGTAAAATATATAATATATATAATAATATATAATTAATATAATATAATAATATATAATTAATATAATATAATAATATATAATTTAATATTACAAAATATATATATAGATTCAAAGAATTTTAAGATTAAAAAACGATTTTCTATGTAATTTGTGATGCGTTATGATAGAGTCAAAGTTGAATTCTCGGCGCGAACACGATCAATGTTGGTGCCCCTGCACAAGTAGCTCCTCATGTCAAGAACATTGCGTATAGTTGGCTCTTCCGTTACGCGTTTTCCCGCGGATTTCATTGTTGGCTGTGTGGTGCTAGCCGTGTGCAGTATATCATTTAATGCGATGCTTATTTAAATATCGTGAAAGACGCTTGGTTTTTTTAACTATTATTTCCTCGGAAGAACGTTATCGATCGCGCAGCGACACGTTTTTTGTGCAACCGGCTGAACCGCGCCGACGAGTAGTCTTGGTTCTCGTTTAGGTTATCGTGAGAGAGAGCTGCGCTGACAGATCTGAGTGTGTAATAACTTTGGAGGCATGTTTTAAATAATAACCCGGCATTTCGGTAAAAAAAAGGTAATCTTACGATAGCCAATTATCATTCGACGAGAAATGTGTAATTTCATTTGTATAGTTCTATCACTCACAATAAAAAATAAAAAAAATTAAAATGTGCATCGCGTCCCATTTCAGGTTCGACAAATGAAAAGTACGGGTAACAATTCGATGGAGGATTGTACAATAGAAACAATCACACCTGCAAAGAAAAAAAAATGAAACAAGGTATCTTGATTTTTTTTAAACAATTGTATTTACGTAATGTGTTTTATTATATAGCTGTTCATTATTTCAGCACAACTACCATTTCAAACGTTAAGTTCCCCCAAATTACCAACTGATATATCTAGTAAAAAAAGGAAGAGGAAGACGATGTCACCTTTGATAGGATCTAAGAGTCCCAAAGTAGTGAAACTTACAACAAAAGAGAATTCTGTTCGAAGGACCCTTAAGAAAGAAGAAGAAGAATCAGACAACATAAAATTTAATAGCAATGATATAATTGATATAATTTCATCAGACGATGAAAGGAAAGATCTGGAGCAAGATGATCAGCGAATGGACAGGAAATATGATAGTACACCTAAAAAGAAGATTCTAGGAAAAATAAAAAATTGGATAGATCTCAACAGAAACCTGGTGCCTTAACTAAGTTCCTGAGAAAAGCAGACAAAGAGGTTGAAGAAAATGATATTAGTCATGACAATTTATCTGAATTGAAAAATAAAAAAGATTATCAAGATACATCTGTATGTAAAGATAAAAATGAAATCTGTGCGAATGAAAGCTCAAGCACAGGACTTATCCAATCTGAACAACATCTGGATAAGGCTCAATCTAATTCAAATATAGATGATCCTATCAACAAAGGTACAGATGTTTCTGTCCAAGAATCACACTGTGATATTACTAATTTATCTTCGGATAGTGAAACTTTGAGTGAATTGGATAAATCAACGTTAAATGAGAATAAAGAAGCAACTGAGCCCACAACTCCTGTTACACCAAAAAGTAATAAAGATATGAAGAACAAAATTAAAAAATTAACGCCAAAACAAGTAGAAAAAAAAGAGGCAATTGCTAAAAGAAAGGAAGAAAAACTAAAATTAAAAATGGTATGTGGAAAAGATTAAAATTATATTTTAATTTATTATTAAAATATATTATTTAAATTATAAATTGGTTTTTTTATTACATACATGTATCATTTATATCTTATTTCTTATTATTAGGAAAAAAGAAAAAACGAGAAGAGGAGAAAGCAAATCGACGAAGAGAAAGAGAAGAGAAACAAAGAGAAAAAGAAGAAAAAGAAAGGATAGAAAAAGAGCAGAAGAAAAAAGAAAAAGAATTAAAAGAGCTTAAAAAACAGATGGAGATCGAGTAAGGATAATTATTTTATAATGCATGTTTTATAATGCATTTTGTATTATATATTTTTGCATTAAAAATTATTTACTTCTAGACAAAAACAAAAAGAAAAAGAAGCGAGAGAAGAAGAACGAAAAAAACGAGAAGAAGCTAAGGAAGAAGAGAAAAAAAGAAAAGAAGAAGAACGATTGGAAGCTGAACGTAAGAAACAAAAAGCTGCTTCAAATTTTGCTAGTTTTTTTGTTCCTAAAAAGCAGGAAATTAAATTGGTGGAAGAAGAGAATATCGTTGAAGTGAGAAATTTTATGCCGTTTGAAATAAAGGCTGATATGAGAATTGCTCCGATTTATCGACGAGTGTTAAGTGAACACGAGAAATTATTGTTAGATGAAAAATGCAATCTAGATTTAGATAAAAACGAATTGTATCTTGAAGATATTAAGAAAGGAAGAATTGTACCACGCTTTTCTTCCAAAACATGGCCGCTCGAAACAAAGGACGATGATATTATTTTATTAGGTAAATATCACATTGTAATAAAACTATATAATATAAATCTCATATAATTTGTTTAATGTTTTAATAAATATTAATTGTTAATGCAGACGACGACAACGATGGCAGCTCCAACATAATAACAGACACGCACAACTTGGAGAAGCACCGGCCAAAATTATTGCAGTTTAATGAAAATCGTCGTCCTCCATATTGGGGCACGTGGCAGAAACGAAGTAACGTTCTAAATTCCCGGCGGCCGTTTGTGAAAGACGAGGTAAGCAAATTAATTAATTAATAGGATAGTTCTTATGGGAACATTTTTTAACGGTTTATAGTAGTATCATTTTGAGATATTAACTCTGTTATATAATATATAATACTTATTAAAATATTATTTATACATAATTGCTGTTTTGCAAAAAATTGCATAAAATTATTCTTACAAAAGATATCTTAATCGATATAAGACCTGTGAAAAATCAGACACAAACTAATGTATTTATCCTAGGATTTGTCATTACTCCTTACAATGATTATATTTTATTGAAATAATGTAACAGTCGCTAGTAGGAACTAGACGTGTTAATACTAAGTTGAATGAATTTTTTATTTGATTAAAAATTTTATTAATTTTGTTTATTCAGTCGAATAAATTTGTGTCATACACATTATCTTAAAAATTTATAAATGCTCTCGATTGTTGTAAGAATACATGAAAAATACATTTCATTAAAGCTTGCACTGGTGATTCTCAAACAGGACATAGGTAAATATATTGAGTCATATTAAAAAACCAAGGAAAGGGTTAGCCGCCGATGTTAAGAATCACCATTTTTCATATTAATAATTTGGCACATATTTTGTTACAATAATTATCTTTAAATAGAATCACCTTATAAGTACTTTATTTATCAATTTATATAGAAACTGTGCCGCAGCATTGTTTCATCTCCTTAAAGATAAACTTTGGTTTGCTTTATTAATTAAGAGGAAATTCTAAAAGACATGTAGGGGGGGGGGAAGAAAGATTTATGACTGTAAAACGTTCACTTTGCTGCCACGTAATCCTCTAGCTCCGTGAAATAATGGATAGGTATTTTTGCGGTGCACTTTACGATGTTTGGCCAGATGATCGCTACGCGCGAATCTTTTTGAACACATCTCGCACGAGTATGGTTTAATGCCAGAATGCGATCGTCGGTGCCTTGCCAGTTCGTCCGATCGACTGAAACGCCAAACGCAACCGGCCCAAGTACACGCGAATGGTTTCTCGCCGGTGTGTCGGCGTAAATGAGCTTTCAAGTGAGAAGCCTTAGCATAAACCTAAAACAAAAAAAAGATATATTTTGATTGAGATTCAATCTTTAAATTCTTAAGATTTAATCTGATATTTCTTATTAGAGCTAATGTAATATTTGTTAATCTTTCATAAAAAGATTTAATGATATAGTATAATGATGATTTTAATGAAGTTATAATTATTTTTTTAAATGTTTAACTTAGTGAAATAACCTTACTTAGTGAAATAATAAGTGAAAAAAAAATAAGGATTTCTTATATCAAAAAGTTTACCTTTAGACATCCCTGGTAGGTACACGGGAAGCATCGATCTTCGGCTGCATTTATTAAACTGCGATTGGTGTAATCGTGTGTTGCTAAAGCAGCAGTGGCTTCTGACGAGATTAGGAGACCGTCGTCTAACTGATTGTTATTATAATCTGTAACGAAATGCATATTAATGCAATCATCTTTACATTTCATTAAAATAAGGATGCATTTTAAATAGCGTCATTTATAATATCCTTCATATCTTAATATACGATCCAAGAATCAATAGATATTTTTTATAAGTGGAAAAAATTCCGTAGTTTTATCAGTTAATTTTTTATGCTATTCTGAGAAGCTTAAAATAATAACGAATAATATTTTTATAGCAACAGTGTACATCTCATACCTATCGTATTTGTTTCTAATGTATTATCCAATGCTCGTAAATCGATGCCGAGTACTAGCAATGGTTCTTTTTCGTATTCATATTGTGGCATTTGTTGCGGATTCGATAGAGGTGGCAAATGTAGAAACCCTTCGCATCCAGCGGTGCACAGTGGTGTTCTTTCTGGTAGACCCAAGTCCGAGGTTCTTTCCAGATACCAATCCAACTCCAATTCGCCCAGTTCGCTCAAACAACCTGTTCGATGGATATTAAAAAAAATGATAATACTATTAAATTTAATAAAATTTATTAATAATACAATATTATTTTCATTTATTGCAAGAGAACATGTACACTTAAATTAAAAACAATTCTGGATTTTACGCAATAAGAATCATATATAATTTACATGTTCTTTGTAATAAATGAGAATAATATTGTATTTTATTAAATTTAAGTATTATCGTTAAATTATTGTTATATATTTATAATTTTATATATTATATATATTTATATATTTATATAAGAAATATGTACCTGAGGATGTAGGTGTATTAGTGATCGACCAATCATTCCAAGACGATTGCGAAGAAGAAGAAGAAGAAGAACAATTTAAGTCAGTGTAGCAATCAATCGGACTTGTGATGTTTAACTGATTGTCGAGTATTTCGAAAGCGTCGCAGAGCGAAGTCGTACACGAACTTTCATAATCGTTAGTTAGAGTCGTCCTGGCAGAAAATAGCTGTCTCTCGAGGCTGGTTTCCGTTGTGCTCAGGGAGGAGAATAGTTCATCCATCATCTGTAAATAAGTGTCAACAGATATTTTATAAATTCTGGATTTAATTCGGTTTTAAATCTTTGATTTGTCTTGGAAGAACTTTGTCAACATTCCGTTCGTAGACAAGATGATTGTACGGAATTTTATTTTTACAATGATGACAAAGAAACACACAGATATATATGCATTTCAGTGATGATTGTCGAATTCAAAGTATATCGCATAAATAAGCAATTTTGCGCTGTGTACATATACTCACATTGAACGAGGCTTCCTCAATCATGATACTGAAGGATTAAATCAAGATTGTGAAGTCAATATCACTCAGAGATGCACTTTTCATATGAATTGACGCACGACAATAACTTTTAAAATAACGATTTTGACATTTACATTATTAGTCAAGATTGACTCGGCCGTATTTTCCAATATCAACATCTGTCGATCATCGTATCACGATCTGTGTGCAACAAGGGCACTTTGGTAACGGCTATATATATTCAACACGATAAATCTTGAACCTAAGAACCATTTGTATTAGATTATAATCATAATACAATTGTACGAGTTCTTCGTGTTTTTACGATGGAGAACCGGTGTCGTTATAAAGTGTCACGAATGTTACGTTATTAAGAAATCTACGACGCCGGCGTTTGCGATTTCTTTTCGTGAACCATCGAGTGGACCTTTCAATTACAAAGTTTTTCGAAAGTTGCGAAATTAGTGCAGCGACGAATGCGTATACCGGTGCGAGACGCTTCGAAACTTGTGCGCATCCGAAGTCGAGAGGAAGGAAATACAGAAAGCACCACGATAACCACGAGTTATCGGTGGTTGTGTCAAGACTGCAACTGGTGGTTGAATACGATTCTATCCCTAGCGAGAAGACAACGACGAGAGCGTGTGGGACATCGAGGAGAACTGACGCTCGAGATAAAAATATTAGTTTGTACCACATCGTACCATCACCGGCCGATCCCCAGGGACTTGGCGATCGCGCACGTCGTTGGCTCGTTCCAGAACACCAAGGGAGCTCACCGGCACCACCGTTCTCAACGGCGACTCGTTAGTTTTATCTTCTGTTAGCTTATGGTAGGAATGGGCTTAAGTATCAATAGTTGCAAATTTCCCTTACGGTCAAATGGATAAAATTTCAGAAACAGATTTCGTTAGGTTCGATTTAGGTTTCATGACGAGGCAGACATCAATCATTTTTGGAAGTTTGAGATATTTATATATCAAGAAAATCTATTATCTTATATATTATCAAAGAAACGTTAAGCCAAATAGATAATGAACGTATTCGTCTAAATCTTTAAAAAAGATTTCACAGCAATGATATATACGGAAACAAAACAAGAAAGATATATTTTATCTATGTAAATGCACAATTAACCATTGTTTATGAATACTTTTTTCTAACTTTTTTTATTTTCCAAGACGAGAGTATTTTGTGTATGTTTTTAAATGCTAAAATAAATATAATCAAATTTACATAACATATCAGAATTGAAAGATAACATGTAAAATATTCGCAAAAAAAAAATACAAAAAAATTATTTAGTTGTACATAAAAGAGCATATAATGTGTATTATACGTTTATTGCATTTTATTATATATAAAAAAACAATTATAATTAATTAATATTAAATGAAAAAAGAAGATTATAAAAAAGTGCCTTGAGGATAAAAAGCCACGAAATTTCAGTTTTTGAAGTTTATAATCTCCTCACGTGAATATAAGTAGTAGTAGTAACAATTATATATATTTTTTTATATGTGATAAACATACAATATGCATTATGCTTTTTATATATAATTATATGATCTTTTTGTATGCTTTTTTACGAACTTTCTATTTTTTCGAATTTGTTATTTTTGAATCCTCCTATAATTTATAAATTTGATGGTTATATTTGTTTTTAGCCCTCAGAAATCTACACGAAATTTCTAGTTTTATTTCAAAGTCAAAATGAAATTTTTTTATTTGTTATTTTTTGTATTATTTATTGGAAGATCCACATAAAATTGTAATTTTTCTAAACCCATTCCAGCACTACTCGATCCGACTTCTTTTGTCAAAATCTAAATTTTCAAATTCACTTTTCTATTTTAGATATTCAAGATCAATTCTTTTTATAATAAGAATATTTTTACAGTCATTATTTAAATCCTACGAAACGAGTTGCAAAGTTAATTCGTAACTCGCGATCGATACACATCTTACTTGATCCCATCCCTACTGATCGAGCAATTAGCTCGTTTATTTATGGTCCCTCGAGATGCAAATTAATCGGGCAGCGCGCCGGATAATCGTGATACTCCGATGCTGGCTATCAGCACCGATTTTGCTGAACGAATCGCGTCGCGCGGATTCGGAAAAGAGAGAAAGAGAGAACACCCTCTTCAGGCATGTCTCGAGGATACCGCAGTTCTATCGTGCACGTGGCTGCTATATATATTAACGATTTCAATTTATGATATAATTCGGGAAGAACTGTTCGATC